AGGAAGAGACAGAGACATGTTTAAAGAAATGAAAACATTAAAAGGCGAATCCAGACCTTTTTTCATGTAATAAGTGATAAAAACGGTAACACATTAACGGAAACCAAAGACATATTAGAAAGATGGAAAGAATACTGTAGAGAAATGTATAAGGATGTGACAAGTAATTCAAAAACAGCTGGTGGAAGTTATGAAAAAGAACCTGAGCCTTCACTGGATGAGGTACGATCAGCAATACAGTCAGAAGAAAGGAAAGTCACCAGGTTGCGGCGAAATACCAGCAGCGGAAGCTGAAATATTTTGGTCATATCAAGCGCCACGTAGGATTGGAAAAAAATATAGCAGAAGGCATTGTACCAGAAAGGAGGGGCAGGGGCCGACCGACACGAAGATGGGCACAGGATATAAGTGACTCCTTGAGTATGAAAGTACATGAGGCGGGAGAACTGGCGAGAGACCGAGTATTTTCAGGCAGACTGATGAGAGCGACGTTCTGCAAAGGACCTGCTACATGATGACGATGATGGTAGAGAAATGGCCAGACTCTTTCCTGACAAACTGAATGTGTCGGGTTTTAATCCACACCGAGACAGACTTTATGCAGTCACCGAGCTAGGGCACGTTCGGTTGCCCGCCATGTGATGTTGTGGAGTCTCAATGTGCCAATGAATCTTTCAATCTATCTTCTTGTTTGGCCGCCCGCTACAATCTTGGTGTTCCTACTGTTATGTTGTACGCTCTCATTACTTGCATCAGTGGTATGAATTAACACCTAAAGAAATCTGTACTGACAATCAACAACAAGGCTACATAGCTGCAGTTCAGCATATCTCCATAGATAAACAGTTAAACATATCTCCATAGATAAACAGTTAAATATATCTCCATAGATAAACAGTTAAACATATCTCTATAGATAAACAGTTGAACATATCTCAACGTCCTGGTTACAAGTTATTCAAATTTATTGAGCTGTCTTGCAGAGATTGGGTCTTTGCCAAACCGTTAGTTGGATATATCTTCTCTTCGAATTGTACCCGTTGCCTTTCAGACAACATCATATAACGTTTCCTGGTATTCCCGAAAATAATATCCTGTTCTTGCTCTCGCCCCCCCCCCCTTCCCTTTTCCCACTAAGTTTCCGTCCTTCTGTCTCTCAGCGGCGAGGTGCCATCCATTCGCATGTGTAAGCGATGAAGACCACAAATTTTTTTTTTTTTAAATAGAAGGATTTAATGAATATCATGGAATGATTGACTTGCAAATGCGGCTGTCCCTCCGCGAGACATACAAAACGAATTTTCTTAATGCGAGCAGATTTTGCTAGTTTACACTCGCCATCACCATGGGCTGTGATGAAGCACAACATACTACTACTAGAGGTGTCAACAATACGGGAGAAGACTGGGGAACTTGGCCACGACTGACAACGCTGTTGTGGAAAGAGCGATGGGATAGCAAAACAATACATGCCTTGAGGGAGCTCGACAATATGGATGGGTCGATGTACGAGAACTGATCTACGACTCTGGTGATCATGTGAGTGACAAATCATTGCCCTCTACGCTTATTGGCAGGGCACCTGATGACGATGAATTATTTTGTCTTTTAATGAGACCGAAATATTTTACTTGTGTTGACTGGTACCCATTACATAGAGGCTGGGTGAACCCCGGGAACCCGCCGGTTTCGAACACCGGCCGTGGGCACGGCGAGTCGCACTTGGCTTAGAAAGTGAGTCTCCTATAGACTGCACTAACGCCCCCCCCCACACACACATACACAAAACCAGCCTGAAAGCAGCTACCTAATGAATTAGGTGAAGATAAAGCCTACCAACATGACACAGGAAGTTCGATCGCAGCACGTGGTAGGATCTGCAATCACAAGAACAATGTCATGTTTGAACGTATCACATTCACGCCAACTCTGTGTGTCTGCAGGAACGGCTTTGTCTTATCTTTACGGTGCATGCGTGATCAGTGCTAGACGCAGGCAGACTAACTTACACTCTGAAGGCACGCAAATACACAACAAGTTGTTACTGCAGTAATTCAAACAGTAACTGGCAAACTTTATTTATATAATCTGTATGCAAACTGTTCTATAACCTGTGTATATATTACTAGCAATATCGTGTCCTATTTTGATACTTTTGTATAATATATGTATATATATATATATATATATATATATATATATATATATATATAATAACGTATATAATATAGAACAACAACATATATATATATATATATAATATATATATATATATATATATATAGATCATAATACGTAATATAGAACAACAATATATTGCATACTAATGTAATTTCATTTCAACGCATATTAAGACGTGACTGTGTTTTCTATGGCGAAGTGGATACGAAGTTTGTCACGACCTCAGAAGTATCTGGATTCAGTTTGAGAAATTTGTCCTTCAATTTGTGCTAGTGTTACAGAGATTCCTTGTATGCTTCACTGAATCTTCAATGCGATGCTCTAGGATGGCGACCAGCTGCATGACAGAGATATACCAAGTAGTCTGGTACACGTAGCTGTGTAATGCAATCTATTATCTCGTCTGTGAATATCTTTAAAGCGTTTAATTGGGTATTCGGTGACCAAACGATACGCGAGATACACTATTACCACTGAAATCAAGAAAAGATCCACTGCCTATCCAAAAGCATGACGTAAGAGTCGACTAACTGGAAGCTTCCTTCGAAGTCGGAGTGCGTCTGATCGAAAGCCAAGGACCCAACAGTCTGCATACAGATAAGTCATATCTGTAAAACGGGTTCACATTTAACACTCAGGTTCTGGAACAGGACTGCAGTCGAGAAGTGCACGAACAACCAGAACTTTCCGCCAGAGTTTACAGTTGGTGAAAGCGAAGAAGAAGAAGAAGAAGAAGAAGAAGAAGAAGAAGAAGAAGAAGAAGAAGAAGAAGAAGAAGAAGAAGAAGAAGAAGAAGAAGAAGAAGAAGAAGAAGAATAAGAAGAAGAAGAAGAAGAAGAAGAAGTATTGCTACAGCATGAGAAATAGTATTAGCATATTGTAGCAGTAGCAGCAGTAGTATTAGTAGTTGTAGTAATGATGTGTTTAATGCCACATACATAAATATATATTTTTTGAAAATCTGACTTCTATAAGTAAATAGGAGCATTCCAACACACCGTAGAAGTTTCAGATAGAGCCAATTACCCGAATTCCATTTTGTACAAGTGGAGAGCCCAAATGTTTGTGTCAAACATACCTCGATCCTGGAAACAGTCCGTTTTATTGCTTTTGTGATTTGAACATGTTGACATATCGTGGACAGATAAGAAAACACCAGCAGGGTATTAACAATTACAGAAGATACTAAATCACTCACACAAACTGTAAAGAGAAGACAAACGACAGTTACAGGGCGTTTCGACGGATAAGGTGACAAAGAACACTGTTCTTCAACTCGTTTTACACCCATGAACCGGTAAAATAGGAAATATTTGTTTCGCTCGACGATTGCCGGCTAAGACAGAATTAAAAAGATATGATAACTTGGACGAAACGAATTATTTCTGTTTAGGGGTTGGGGGTGGGGGGGGGGGGGGGGGGTGGGGGCGCCTTCGTCTCCAGCTTATGCAGTACACTCATTGCTGTCTTTGGGTATATTACGTGATGAGGTCTCAAATCCATTCACGAAGCGACTCTTGTACCATTGTCTAACATCGATAAATGGTTTGAAATGAACTCTGTCCGTATTCCATAGTTGTGGATTTCAAGTTGTGCGATAGACATGGCCAATAAGACACATTTTCCGGGGGTGCCGAGTTGATCATGTTCTTAGTGCACTTGTATTCATGGCGAGGGGGTGACAGGTTCAATTCCCGGCACGGTAACTATAGCTTTCGATTTTTATGTTGTCTAGTGTGTTCTTCTATCTATCTACTTCTTTCTATGAGTGTCGATCAATACACTTTCTGTTACTTGATTAATTCATAATATTTAGCAGCCTCAAAGGTTCCACCTCTGTTTATTTATAGGTCTTACATCGTTAAGAACGGCGTTTTTTCTCAATAGCGGGTTGCAGAATTTGAACTCTGGTGGGTCGACAATAAGATTGTGAATCAATGTCAATAACCTTTAAGCCACAAAGGAAGCCGCCGTGGTGTAGCGGCTAGACGCTAGCCTTCAGATCGGAACAGGAACTTTTCAAAAATGACCTTGGCTCTTAGTTCGACCTAGTCTTGTGTGGGTGCTAGATGGAGTCCTGGAAAGTAAAGGTGGCCAGACCCCCCGAGTACCGACTGGTCTATAAAATATAGGTCTACCCTCTTTGCCTAACACGCCTGAAGGCGCGGGAAAGGATAATTTTTACTTATAAGTCACAGAGTCGTACTAACTGTAGAAAACATGGTATGTGTTACATGTAATTATGAACATTGTAGATAATGTAGATAATGTGACAGCTGCTGCTACTTAGAGGTAAGAAAATCGAATCTGTGTAGCTGAAGAGTTGTTTACGAGGGACGAAGCGCTTTGGTAAGCAGGATACGACGGAGTCCTGATAATGGAGGTTGTACTGTGAATTATTGTATTTATTTGCCATCAGCATATAATAACATAATAATAACATAGTAATGATACTAACGATACTAGTTATTACTTGTGCCCGAGTAATTGTGGTTTAAGCCCCCAGAGCTGCTTTCTCTAACAAATTATAAGCGGGTGGACTTACTTCCCCCCCCCCCACCCCTCCCCTTCTTTCCACCCCACCTTAATGATTTCCTAATGACAGCGCTCCTACCGTATCCTGTACACGTGAATTTTAAAAAAGTTTAACATCCTCACCCTACTGCAGTACCCTAGTTACAGACCGATTCATTGAAGACACTTGCATGCCGTTATGTGGTTACTGACTAGAATTTTCCAGAAAATACGCATGATGCTGTCTGAGACAATAACTTACCAATGAGAGACAACATTGTAGATTTCTGTACTTACACACAACCATGACAGACATCGTAGATCAACATCCAAGACGACATTCGTTGGTGCAGGTATGGTCGTGGTAACGTGGAAGTTGTATACGTGATTTAATATGTTTTTTGCTTATAAGGGTGCTGGAGCAGAATCATCATCTTCATTCAACTTCTTTTTTTTTTTCTGCTGCTGCTACTGTTTCTCCTGCTGCTGCTGCTGCTGCTGCTGCTACTACTACTACTACTACTACTACTACTACTACTACTACTACTACTGCTGCTACTACTACTACTACTACTACTACTACTACTTCTACTACTACTACTACTACTACTACTACTACTACTACTACTACTACTACTGTTGCTGCTACTACTACTACTACTACTGCTACTACTACTACTACTACTACTACTACTACTACTACTACTACTACTACTACTACTACTACTACTACTACTACTACTACTACTACTACTGCTGTTGCTGCTACTACTACTACTACTACTACTACTACTACTACTACTACTGCTGCTAATTCTGCTCCTGCTACTACTACTAAAACTACTACTACTACTGTTGCTGCTACTACTACTAATGCTAATGCTAATACTTCTACTCTTGCTGCTGCTACGACT